CCCCTCCTCTCCTCCTCCTTCCCCTCCTACCCCGAACCTACACCCAACAACCGGCGTCTCTGCTTGTGAGCACCGCCGCTCCGCCCCCGACTGGCGCCGAGGCCCGTGCGGCTCCGGGGCCCGCTCGGCGGCTCCGGGCGCCCTCCCCCAAACAACATAAAATCCTGCGCCCGCGCGCCCGCGCGAGGCATATTCATATACATATACATTTACTTATACTTATACATATACATACTCATATTCATATACATACAGCTATATATCTACATGCATGTATATTTTTATATAGATATATATATATATATATATATATACACACGGACACCCTTCGACGAGCTTGACATGTCACTCCAGGGAGGGGGAGGTGTGTAAAGCCGCTGGCTCCCAGTGGTGATGTGTACACCGCCGCCCTTTCCCTGAGGCCCAGGCACAGTCCAGTGGAGGGTGTCTGTATATACTCTTTCTCTGTGGCGGAGAGAGGGAAGCGGTTCCAACTCGAAATCGAACTCGAACTCGAAGCCGAAGCCTCGAACTCGAAGCCTCGAACTCGAAACCTCGAACTCGACCCCGAAATCGAACTCAAACTCGAGAATTCGAGCTCGAGCTCGAAATCTGGAGCAGCCCGCCATGTCCGTCACCCGAGTGTGCGCCTCCGCGTGCCGGGCCGGTCTCGAGCCGCCCGCCGCGGGGCACGCCCGCGAGGGTCCTCGAAACGTGGGCCCCGCTGTCGCCCAGAACCCTCTCTGCCCCGCCGCCGCCACCCCAGACAAAGCAGCTGCAGTGGAGGCCCGACCACAAGAGGCCTTCCACAGGAACACCAAGCCTGAGACCACAGGGCGTCCCTGGATTCTTGGCGCGGGGACGTCACGCGTTCCATCGCAAGACCATGGAAACCCGAGAAACCCAGGGCACCCTGGAGGCAAGCAGGGCGTCTCTTGGCATAGGTCGCCATTGTACAGTCGCCACCATTGCCTGAGCTGCTGCTTGATTCTCTGCCAGGGCCGTCGCGTGCGCGCGACGGTTTCACCTGCACTGGACCCTGGCGTGCAGGGCGGAAGAGAAGCCCTGCCCGAACCAGCGGGGCGCGTGGGTCTCGAGTGCAGCGCGCGCGCTGCTGAGGGTGCAGCTGCGGTCAGCGCTTGGGCCGGATGTGGAACCAAATGCGAGTATGCATGCCCGCTGTTGCCCCCACCGCCCCCGCGCTCTCCACCAGCCAAGGTAGGAGGAAAGTGGGGCGGAGCGGGTGGAGAGGCATGAGCTGGTCGCAGGCGAGACCCCAATCTCGAACGGTAAGCCACATCGAAAATAGTTCGAAATTGATCCACGCGCGCTTCGCGCGCGCTTAGGTTCTAGCGCAACACAGGCCAACGTCTCGACACGATGGGTGCGTATCGCCATGTCTGTCTTGCAAGTGCTTCGACACGTTTCAAATATTCATCACACTCCTCCGGATACTCGTCCTTCCCAACCTCTGCTCCGTCTCCTCTCCTCTCTGCGGCCTCCTTCCTCGGGCTCTTTCATCACCCCCATTATCATCTTCATCATCATCTTCATCATCAGCATCACCATAATCATCATCATCATCATCATCATCATCATCATCATCATCATCATCATCATCATCATCATCATCATCATCATCACCGTCATCATCATCATCATCATCATCATCATCATCATCATCATCACCGTCATCATCATCATCATCATCATCATCATCATCATCATCATACTTATCATCACCATCATTATCATGATCATCAGTATCATCAGCATCATCATGAATATCATCATCATCATCATCATCATCATCATCAGCAACATCATCATCATCATCGGCACCGTCATCGTCATCGCCATCGTCTTCAGCATCATCATCGTCGTCATCGTCATCAGCAGCAGCCCCATAAGCATCATCATCATCACCATATCCCTTCTCCACCTCAACGTCCAATCCCTCCACCAATTCCTCCTCCTCCTCCAACTCATAATCACCATCACCACCACCACCATCATCATCATCCTCAAAACCACCACAACCATCATCATCATCACCAGCATCAGTATCAGTATCAGCATCAGCATCCTCATCCTCATCCTCATCATCAGCATCGCCATCGTCAACGTCATCCTCAACATCATCACCATCGCTGACATCATCATCATCACCATCATCATCAGCAGCATCGTAACCTTCATCTTCAAAGTCAACAGCGTCACCTTCATCCTCATCATCAGTATCATCAGCATCATCACTATCATCTCCATCATCACCATCACCACCATTACCATCACACCAGCCATCAACATCATCATCCTCATCATCATCATCATGATCATCACCATCACCATCACCGTCACCGTCACCACCACCATCACCATCACCATCATCATCATCATCATCATCATCATCATCATCATCATCAGCATCATCATCATCACCATGATCACCATCATGATCATATGAGCAGCATCATCATCATTAGCATCATCATCATCATCACCATCGCCATCACCATCAGCATCATCATCATCATCATCATCACAATCACCATCATCATCATCATCATCATCATCATCAGTATCATCATCATACCAACATCATCATCAGCAGCATCAGCATCATCCTCATCATCAAGAACAGGAAGACGGGGTGAACGATGACACCAGATAACCAACATGTATTGCACGAGCAACAGCTTTGGAAGGGTGTTGGTAGAGAAGGGCCTCTCTTGGAGCGTTTGGACCCACTGTGGACCCCAGAGACACGGTTTGCATCCCGTCCCCGCGCCTACTTTGGTACACCCCTCTCACGTATCGTGCCCCACAGGGAGTTTAAGATACAGCCGCAGAGACAAGATTCGCATAACCCCCCCCCATTTTCGGCACGCGCCTCACACGGATCGTGCCCCACAGGGAGCATCACCTACGGCCCCACCCCCGCCCAGTTCGGCACACCACTCACGCGAACCGCAGATGGGCAACTTCGCATGGCGTCCCCCGCCCATGTCGGCGCATGCCTCACACGGATCGTGCCCCACAGGAAATTCCCCCTACGGCCTCGCGGGGGCATCCGGTTTATTCGGCACTCTCTTAACGCGGAGCGTGCCCCACGTGGAATTCAGCACACCTGTGCACGCTTGCTCCGAAATGTTATCGCACTCCAGGGGCGCTTGCGTTGAAAATCGTAGGAGGCCGGACGACCATCCGACCCGGGGGGGTGAACAGCCACTGTACTTAGAGCGCCTTCGCTGCGGCGGAGTGCTTTGAGACTCAAGAGGCTCTTGCCTGATGAAACATATGATCCCGGACGACGATCGGAACCAAGAAAAGGCAATGCGCAATGCACTTAGAGCGCCTTGAGTGCAGCAACTATTTCTTGGCCTCGAGAGGCCTCTGCCTGAGGACACGCAGGAGGTCGAACCGAAGGATTTGGGCTCCCTGGGGGCTTAGGGGGTACCTAAACCTTTTGGGAGCCTTTTGGAGACCTCCTCGGGCCTTCTGGAGGCCGTATTGGGCTGTGCATGCCGGCTGGAGCCAGGTCGGGTATGTGTCCCCCTAGAAGAATATTCGAAACATCGTCTCGCGGCTATTTTCTGACGATTGCCAGCCTGGAACCTATCCCTATCCCTGTGCTGGGCATCGCCTCGTCACGATAGCGATCTTAGGGATTTCCTCAGTTTCTGAGGGTGCATCCCTAAGATTGTCATCGCCTTTTGGCGTGTCAATCTCAGGGATAGGGATTAGTTCGAGGCTGGTAAGACTATGCTTGCATGTTCCTCCTGTAGAGGGACACGCACGACTTAAGGCTGGAGTCCATGTCGGGACATGCTGGCGGCCTGGAGGGCCGGGTTCCGGGGGCCTGGTGAAACGTCGTTGGGCTCCCTCGGGCTCCTCCTCCTCCTCCTCCTCCTCCTTCTCCTCCTCCTCATCCTTCCTTCTCCACAGCTTCCTCCTCCTCCTCCTCCTCCTCCTCCTCCTTCTCGCCCCCTCTGGGGCGCTCTTGGCCCGTCTGACGCTTTCAGATGCCGTCTGGGGGGGCACTCTAGGAGGTCTCTGAGGCCGTCGTGGGAGACTCTGGGGCGCTTTGGGGAGCCGTCTTGTGGCCTTTGTGGGGCTCCTCTGGGGGGAGGCTTGGGTCGCTTGGCGACCACTCAGAAGCCTCAGAAGCCCACCGGAAGCGAAAAAGCGAGATCTTCAAAGTCTCATGGTTCCCATCTGCATGTCTCAAAGAATTGGGCCTCTTGGGGCCCTCTTTACAACCTGTTGACGTCAGAAGTCCCTGACAATCAACAAACCTTGCCTCTCGTGACACTTTCGCGGGCCCTGTTGGACCCGTTCAAGCGGTCCTGGTGATCTTTTCTGGCCAGCTTGTGGCCGTCTAGGAGCCCCTTTGGCCACGTTGGTCCGTCTTGGCCGCACCATTGTGTCCTCTGGGGCCGTCCTGGAGGCACCTTGGGGGTCCGAAAAACCGCTCGGAGCGCTGAAAAGAGCCAAGCGGCCCGAGGGACTAAATTCTGGTGCGAGGGTGGGTGGACAATTTTGAAAAACAGGGTGCCCCGGTGCCTGGAAACCCGGTGAACAATGAAATCAAATACGGCATACGGCTGCGATAACATGCACTTGGCGCAAACTCTGGCCTGGCGTGCCGATGCTGCCCAATTGCAATGTCACGCTCAAATTGGAATCCTGACTTCCGCACATCTGAACGCACGAGCACCGGATGTGCCGTAGGTGGGCGATGCCCTCGCGATGGCATCTCTTGGTGGCTTGACCGCCGAAGGCTTCAGGCTCAAGCCTCGAAAAGAGCTCCCCCTCTGGCCGCTCGGGTCGTTTTGTTTTGTTTTGTTGGTTTCCTTCTGACGCGAGCAAGCCTTGTCCGCGCCCCTGGAAACCGTCCAGGGCAGCTCTACGAACGCTCTTCACCCCTCCCCTTCGGCTGTTAAGCAAATTCCCTCAAAAAAACTATCCACCCCGTGGCGGCGTGCAGAAAGGAATCGGGGGAGGGGGGTTAAGGCTCCTCAGAAGGAGGCCGCTCCTTAGAAAGTGCGGGCTTCCATCTACTGAGAAGGCCCGCGCCTCCTACGGGAGCAGGGGTGCTTCTAGGAAGCCTTCCCCCCCTCCCCCTCCCCCCTCCCCCTCCCCCGTCCGCGCGTGGCTCATGGGGAGATCGAAACGTGCCGATACCGCCTCTCCCCCGATCTCTCCCGGGGTGCGCTCTGACCAGCACTTTGATGCGACCCCAGCGCTGGCGGCGAGAGCCTCCCAGGAGGCCCCAGAAAGGGGAAACCTGGCGAAGGGGTCGAGGTGTGGGCACCGCCAAAAAAGCTCCCACCCTGCCACCCTCACCCATAACCAGCAAAAAGCGAGGACAATCTTAGGGATAGGCCCTCAGAAACTGAGGGAATCCTTAAGATCGGCATCGAGGTGAGGTGATGTCAAACATAGGGATAGGGATATGTTTCAAACTGGTAATCCCAGGGGACCCAAAAAGGGGAAACCGGGCGAGGGGGGAGAGGCGTGGGTGCCGCCAGAAGCTCCCACCCTCCCACCCCCACCCACCCAGCCCCACCCCCCCCGCTGCTCCTCCTCGCGCTGGGGACGCGCGCGTGCGGCGCGGGCGCGGCGCGGCGCGCGCGCACCTTCTCCTCCTGCCTTTTCCTGTGCTCCTGGGCGCGGCAGTGGGCGTCGATCTCCCGCTGGCGCTTCTCCTGCGAGGGGGGGGGCCAAAACCTGTCCTGCTGCGGCCCTATCCGCGTCGAATCCGTGTCGAATCCATGTCGGACTCGTCGAATCCGAATAACATCCACACAAAATCCGATTCGAGTCCTCGTCGGACAAAAAAGACACAGATTTTTGGGACAGGCGAGGCTCCCCGAAGATGCAGCGTAAGCAGTCTGGCGGCGCGAGGGAAGGCTTCTCAGAAGGAGGCTGCTTCTAAGAAGCCTTCCCCCCTCCCCCTACCTTCTTCTGCGCGTGGTCGAGCAGTGGTCGTAATCGCCGGAGTGGTAATTAGAGTGACCAAATAACCATGCTTCGGGTGGTACCGAGGCCTGTTTGGGGTGGGGCATGGATGCACTGTTCAGTATGCGATAGACTCGCGTCGGGTTGCCAATATATTGGCCCATTCGTCGATCATACGCAAGACTAGTGAACGTGAGGAGGCGTCGATCGTCTAGCAAAACATCTGCTCTACAAACGATGCAAATATCCATCTCATTATAGATATGTCACCGACACCACGGCAAATCGTCGGCAAAATCACCGCGTCCGAGGCGGCGTTTGTTCTGGTGGCCGAGGCGTCCTCTCAAAGACGCAAGCCCGCGAGTCGGGACAAACGGCGCGGCGATACATGTTAGCCAGCATGGACGCCAAACAATGAGTTATCCATGGTATTGTGGAGGTGGAAGCTACACGCTGCAAGGCTCGAAGTGAAGTCAATGTCATGCAAGCGATGGAGCCAAGGCAGGATGATGACACTTGCAAACGTTTACTTGTGTGGATGGTGGACGGGTCGCCCGGCGAAAGCTGAATGGCTTGGACTTCGCACGACCTGAGTATCACCCTCTGCTATATATCGTGGCCGTGATCGCAAGTACTCTCTTTACTCCGCCTCTCTATCTCTCATCCTCTCTCCCTCTCTCTCTCTCGGGCTCTCTTTCTCCCTCACTCGTTCCCTCCCTCCCTCTCTCTATATATGTACGTATGTACAACATGCATTACTGCTCTGCTCGCTTTTCTACACTCCTGAATCCCCAGCCCAGCACCCGGATGGTGCTGTCTTGTGTTGGGACTGGTCGGTTAACCGAGTACCACGGATAATCATCACCTTGGGATAACAAAGTTCGGGGATCTGGCGGGAATAATCAACGATTTTCCCGGGGAAGGTGATGTTAGTTATCAGTTATGATGATGACGATGGCGATGGCGATGGCGATGGCGATGGCGATGGCGATGATGATGATGATGATGATGATGATGATGATGATGATGATCCACGCATCCAAGAAGGTCTGGAGCTCCCCGCTCGATACAGCCTCCCGAGGCCATGGCCTTTCCCTCTGGCGCTGCGGACGCAAGGCCTGACCCGTGCCCAAGGCACACTCGCAGACTCGCCTGAGAGCCTTGAGGCCGCCGACCGCCCCAGCCAAAGGCAGGCGATCAGCAAAGCATCTGAGCCCTCACGGCGACCCAGCTCGCAGACAGCCCGGCGCGCCACACCAGAGCAACAGTCCCCTGGGCACCAGCCACAGACGGGGACGACTTGCTCTGAGGTGACCTTCGGAGGCGATCCTGACGGTCGGCCATAGCCTACCACCGCGGTTCGGCCTCCGCCTGGCGCGCACAGAGCACAGAGCGGGCTGGAGCGCAGCAAGCTGCGCGGGCTGTCGCGCCCAAGGCGCGCCAGCAGCTTCATTAAACGGAGGCGCCGAAGGCGCCAAGCGACAGACGTTGCCCAAGAGGGCGGGAGGGAGTGAACCCTGGCGTGTGCCGAGCCCCACGGGGTACAGCCTACGCCACGGGGTCCCTCCCCCCCCAGAGGCAGCGCCTCGGCGCAGGCATTCGTGATCCTTGGACCCGCCTGCGACCCGAGCTGATCAGCATGCTGGCTCGATCGGAGGCAACCATGGCGGTGTGCGAACCTACCACCACGGCCCAGCCTCCGACTGGCTGCACAAGCAGAGCATGCTGGAGCGCAAGAAGCGCTGGCCGTCGCGGCAAGCGCGCCAGCAACTACATGAAACGGAGCGCTCCAGTGCGTGGACACCTACGCACCTGGTCCAACTTCCGCTCGAGCGAGAGCCGTGCACGGTACGAGCTAGCCCAAGAGCGGGACACGAGCGCCGAGCGAAGCTGCCGAGCGGCGCGGAATGCGCCTCGCAGCAGCGACTCCCCCCGCAAGGTAACACCCTCAAGTAGGGTTTGGTTGCCTTGCAGGGGCAGCCCGAACAGCCGTGTGCAAACCACACGTCTGTTCGCGTGATGGCAGACAGAGCGAGGCGGCAAGCGTGGCAAGAAAGAGCCTAGCCACCATCGACGCGCCTGCGCATGCGCCGCAGCGGCTCAGGGTCGCCGATGCCGCCCGCCCCAGCGGGCTGCAGGCCGCGCTTCAGCCTGCTGAGCACCGCCTTCTGCCTATCGTTCTTGGGGGCCTTCGGGCACTCCGCTGCCAAGCCCGCCACCCTGCTGCTCTGCGTCCAGTAGCCGCACTTCACACAGAAGAGGTGGCTGCCTGCCCGCCACAGGTCGTGGGAGCCGTGGGCGCCCAATCCCCACCAAGGCGGGAGCTGCGGCGGCGGCAGCGGCGGCGTCCCGCCACCGGCCCCAGAAGGACCCCCCGACGTCGGTGGGCTACCCCGCTGGCCGCCGCCAGGCGCGCCGCTGCCGACTCGCCCTGCACTCGCCTCGTCTCCTTCCACCTGTGCTGGTGCCTCGCTGGCCTGACTGTGGGACAGCAGCGCCGCGCCCGCCGTGATGAGCGCCGCGGCTGCAGCGACCGATCCGCCACTGCTCTCGGCCCCTGAGGCCCAGGAGCCCGCGAGCGCGTCGCCCCTGCCCGCGCGCCGCTGGCAGGCCCAGACCGTGTCGCCGTCGACGTCCAGCCACGTCCCGTGACGCCCGCACGTGCGCTGCGGGCAGTCGGGGAAACTGCAGTGAGCTCGCCATCGCATCTTGCAGCCGCGCCGATCGCACCGAACTGCTCCCAAGCCTGGGCCCTCGTGCCCATCCGCTGCCGTGAGCTCGGCGTCGCCTTCCTGCATCGCCGAACCCAGCCAGCAGAAGACCTTCTTGACGAGGCGATCCTGCCTGCGGCTCCTCTCTCGCACGTCGTCGTCGCTGGGATGCATCTGTGCGCCCTGCACGGCGCGGGCATCGGCGCTGTGATTGCCCCGCCGCTGCCAGGCCGTGACACGCTCCGCCTGCACATCCGCCAGCGTGGCGTGAGCTTTCACCTTGTGGATGGTGACGCTGCCGACCCCCACGTCGTCGAGGGCCGCCCAGAACCGCACCCAGAGCTCGCGGTAAGGCCGCTGCCACTGCAGGCACCGCGCCCTGCCCGCCGCGAAGCCGTCCACGAGCAGCTTGCAGTCAGTGAAGATCCGCACAGGTGGTAGGCAGCTCTGGATGCCCTCGATGGCCGCCACCAGCTCCGCTGCCCCTGATTCTTGGGGATACGGCCAGGGGAGCGGGCCGAAGAGGCTGACTGCCTCGCTGTCGGGTCCCATGACGACGACCGCCCAGCCGCCGCGCGCCGAGACGAGGCTGGGGTCCAGAACGCTCCCGTCCGTGAAGAGGTCGCCCGAGAGCGGCTGCCCCACCAAGTCGGCATGACCCTCCTTCCGCGCCTCCCTGGCGTCGGTGGGCGGTGGCAGGGTCCTTCGGTGCTCGGGTGCAAGAGCGCGGGGCCAGAGCGGGTCCTCGTCTCCCTCGATGCTGGCCATACCGACGATGGTGCGAAAGGGGATGTCGCCAGGGGGGCACAACTCGCCCGCCTCCTCGTTGGAGATCCACTCGCCGCGGCTGACCTCGGTGGCTGGGCACTGCCACGCCAGGTGCCGCACTGTGCCGTGCGCAGGGCATCCCCTGGGGCACCAAGGAGAGGAGGCCAATGGGCGTTTCTCAAAGAACCGCCGCGCCACGGGCCAGAGACATCCGACCAGCGCGTTCTTGGCCGAGCTCATCTGCTTGGCCTTCTGCTTGCTCATGCGCTTGCGTGCCAGTGTGCGCCTGATACTGGACAGGGCGCCTCCATCGCGCAGGTGCTCCAGTCCTGGGTGCTTGCTCGCTGCCCGCCACAGCGCCCTCTCGTGGCCATCGGCGATGTGCTTGGCGAGCGTGGAGGCCCCAGGGTCCGTAGGTCCAGCGGCTGCTGCTTGTCGTTGGTGAGCAGCCCTGGCAGTGTGGCGGTCCAGCCTAGGCGGTGGCAGGCTAGCACGCACGCAGCAGCTGGCCCGCGTCCCGCCAACGCCTCAGGCCCGCCTCTGGCCAGCAGCGTCCTGGCCCCTGCGAAAGCGCTGCCCGGGGCACTCAGGTCCCTGCTGTCCGAGTTGAACTGCACCGCCTTGGCCCATGCGACAATGGGCAGCGCCACGTGGTCGTACAGCGGGTCGCAGTGCAGACGCTTGCTGAGGAGGAAACTGAGGCTGAGGCTCTTGCCTGGGCCGTGCCCATGGTGGACGGCGTTGACCTGGCTCCTCCACTTGTTGAGCTGCGACGTCGGCCAACCCACCACACTCAGCCCATAGCGAGTAGCAGGCCGCAGACCAGTGTTCGCCACTCGAGCTGCTGCTGGGGTCTCCTGCGAGCGGATGGCGTGCAACCTCTGCAACTGGGATGCCGCCTTCGTATGCCGCTTCTCGAGGACCACGAACGCTTGGCCGTCGAGGCAGTAGTCGACCCCCAGGTTCTTGACCGAGTCGGCGATGGGAAAGGCGATGCCTCCCATTAGCTTGGCGACCAGTGATGCCAGCTCTGGCGAGCTGGCCAGCAGCTCGCTCTTTGCTGCTGAGACCTTGCAGCCTAGGGCCTCCAGCTGTGAGATGACCGCCTTCGTCGCCTGGGCCACGTAGGCTGCGACCTGTGCCATCGGTCCGTGGCAGCCGACGCAGCAGTCGTCGAACATGATGGCGAGGGTGACTCTGGGCTCCAGCGCCCGCCACAGCCGCGCATGCTCGTCCGCGAGCACCAGCAGGCCGCACTTGAGGAGCCG